ATCTTTTGTTCTTTTAGTCAGGTATATCCCTAGATATTTAATTTGTATTTGGTATTGTGAAGGGTACCACCTTTTTTATCTCCTCTTCTGTGGTCTGAATTTTGACTTTTCTATCTCCTCATAATTAATTTGTTTAGGATAATAGTTTAGGATAGAAAAACGGGATGTACATTTAAGTGCCAGGAAAAACTTTGTTACATGTTTTTTTGTGTGACATTTTGAAGAGTAGAGTACTTGATCCAGGTAAATATATGTTACTATTATGAGGGGACTCAAGCCATGGAAACAGATAATTAAAAGAGAGTAGGATTTTTCTACAAATTTGAAGCCCTCACATATTTTGGTGGAGTCTGTGAAGTGGTTTTATTTTTTTTAATTTTATTTTTATTTATTTATTTTTGTCAGCCCCTCCTCTCCTCTCCCCCTCGCCCGCCCTCCCCCTGAAGTGGTTTTAATACAAATGTAAATTACTCATTGAAATAAGGGAATAATACCTCCCAAGCACCTTGCCAGTCACCTGATAAGCCAGTCATTTTAATTCATCAGATTAAAAGGAAATCACCTGTTTTAACTTAATTTTTCATAATGAGGTTGTGCATCTTTTCATATACTTTACTTTGTATTTATATTTCTTAATAATAATATCCCCTCTCCGTTTTTCTATTTGGATTTTTAAAAATTATTCTTAGGGTTATATGAATTGCTTGTAATAGATTGTAATTTTATAATTTTCTTTTAACTTTGTTTCAAGTGTTTTGTGCCACAGAATATAACTCCCAGACACTGAGTTGATTCTGATTCATACTGACCCTATAGGACAGAGTAAAACTGACCCCCTGGTTTCCAACGCTTTAAATATTTCCATACATATTTATGGATTTTAAATATTTATGGAAGCCATTTTACATCTTTATAGAAATGAACTGTGTCACCTTTCTTCCTCAGAGTTACTAGTGGGTTTGAACTCCTGATCTTACAGTTATCAGCTCAATTGATAGCCCACTCTGCCATGAGATTGTAATTTTTATTTGTTTTATCTACCCCACTCCCTTGATATTTTAGTTTGTGGCATGCGTAGAAGTATCCTTCCCGTAAGAGTGCTTTCTCACTTGAATTAGCTTCATTGAGTACTGGTTTCTTAGTGGTTACACGTTGGGTTGGTAATCACAAGGTCACTAGATCAAAACCACCTCCTCTCCTGTGGGAGAAAGTCAAGCCTTTCTATCCCCCTGAAGATTAACATCTTTTAGAATCAACTCTATGGTAATGAGTTTGGTGGGTTTGTTTGTTTAATTTGATTTTTTAAAAATAACTTTATTACATGCTTATTTTTATTTAATTTTTAAAGCCAGTGTCGTCTAGGTCATTGAAAATGGTAGCATATCCCTAACTACTCAACACCCAATATTTTCTCCAAAAACAATATAAAGCAAGAGAATTAAAGAAATCTACATTTAAGCAAATTCACAGCATTAACTTGGTTATGAAGAACAGTTTCAAAATAATTATAAATATGAAGAAAGATTTTACCAGTTCCCAACATATCCTCTCTCAAACTAAATCCCCACTCAACCTGCCCCACCACAAAATTGTAGTGGGCATAGGCAGAATGAGTATAAGCGCAGAAAAGTCAAAAGATTAAGACAGCACATGAACCAAAGGTTGCTATACACAACTAGAATGACCAAGTTACTTATTTATTTAAGTTACCGGGTTGATCAGAGTAATTAATATTTGTTGGAGAAAACTGATATAATTATTTGGTACTGTTTACTGCTTGCTTTGAAGCATCAATATACCTGTAAAAAAATAGTTAACTTTTGAAATTATAGTTTAGTCTGTATTTGGCTAGGCTGTGTGGTCTGTGTCAATAACATGGATCTGTTTTCCAACATACCTCTATTATTGAACTAGTCACTTAGCTTTTTCAAGTTTTATATTGTTCATTGCAAAATAGAAACAAAATAGCAAGACTGTTGTGTGAACTAACAGTACAATGGATTTTGTGCTTGCTCATTGTACATCCTTAGTAAACAATGATTTTTCTTCTTCCTTAAAGAAAAGAAGGCAGCCAAATTGAGAACTATTGTCAGGCAATAAGATATTAATCAAAGAATCATGCATATGGTGTTTTAAAATTATTATTATTGTTTAGCAATTCACTGAAAACTGTCATAGTTATTTTCTAAGTAAAATACATAGTGTATAAATCAGGCAGTTTGAAATTAGATTAACTCAGAAGTTATAATTATTGAATATCTAGATATAATTAACGACCTTCATTTCTGGTAAGTGACTTTACTTAGAAGATGTATATATATTCATGTGAGCAAGAGCGACTATTTCCTGGAAGGAAACTGTGGTCTCCAGATCTTTAGAATAAAGTCATCTGTAATCTTTTTGAACTCATAAACATTGTCCTAAACAGACACTTTACTTGCAGTTTCTTAGAAGAAGTAAATGAAGCTTCCCCATGAGCCTATTAAGACTTCATAGACTATCAGTCTTATGGAGAAATTGGTTATTTAATCAAGAACATGACCATGTGTTTCAGGTAGAAAATTCTAAAGATAATGAAGAAAGTATTCTACAAAGAGAAATTCCTGCCAGACATTCTCGTCGACGATTTCGGAAAATTAACCATAAAGGGGAGCGTCAAACTATCACTGATGACGTGGACATTAACAACTATCTTTCTGTGAGTATCTTAAGGAACATTCATAGGTCTGATTTAATTGTGATTTGTAATAGGGCAATTTGCATGTATTTGGCAATATTTTCACTTTGGACTCTATATATGGGACAGGTAAATTTGACTACATAATCTTTTTAAATACTTAACTTAATTGGTTAAAACATAGTTTATAAGTTGGAGATTCGTTTTTGCTTAAATAATATCAAATAACATTCTTCCCAAATCTTTTTAGCCATACTTAGGGATTTTCTTGTCTTTTTATTGCCTGAATGAAAGACAGGTTATTGTACTGCCTGAGAACTTAGACAATAAACTGGTTGAAACCTCTGTGAGGCATGTGTAAGATATAATTTCTGGCTTGGAAAAAAAAAATTCAGTTCACTGCCATTGAGTTGATGCTGACTCATAGCAACCCTCTAGAGCCGGGTGTAATGCGCCTATGAATTTCTGAGACTGTAGCTCTTTATGGGAATATAAAGCTCGGTCTTTCTTGTGTGAGACAAATACAGTATGTGTTAGTGTGGAAACAATATACAAACATTAAAGGCATGCAACCCTGGTTGTCATTATGGTTACTTGTTGGCCTGCAGTTTGACAGCACCAGTCACCGCTCAGGAAAAGGGCAGAGCTTTTACTCCCTTAAAGAGTTACAATCTTGGAAATTCACAGGAGCAGTTTATTCTGTCTTAGAGGGTTGCTGAGTTGGCATTGACTTCATTGCAGTTAAGTTTGGGTTTGTTTTTGTTTTTTCACAAAAAGAAGGCAGACCAACTATTAACTTTGTAACACCAGAAGAAACATAAGCTGTTTCTTCAGAAGTCATTATCAAGAATAAATTATTAGTAATAAATTCATGTGTATGTTTTATGGTTTTTTTTAATGGTTTTTTGGTTATTTGCTTTGAGAAGATTCATGATCTTTCAAAATATTCAGATAAGTAATTGCAAGGTTTTCTTATTTTGTTTGCATGTTTTAAAACACAAAAATCTCTCTAGTATAAAACTAGAACATCAGGTTATGGAAATTTAAACAAATTGAGAACTTGCCAGTAGTAAAAGAAGTTGAAGTACCCCCTCTCTGGGTGGACGGACAATAAAAAAGTGGGTGAAGGGAGATGTCGGACAGTGTAAGACATGACAAAATAATAATAATGTATACATTATCAAAGGTTCAGGGGTAGGTGGTGGGGAAGGAGGGGAAAAATGAGCTGATATCAAGGGTTCACATAGAAAGCAAATGTTTTGAGAATGATGATGGCAACAAATGTGCTTGACACAATGGATGGATGTATCGATTGTGATACGAATTGTACAAACCCTCAATAAAATGATTTAAAAAAAAGTTGAAGATTAGAGTTGGTGGAATAATTAATTGCAACAAAAATTTTCCTAGGGCATATCTTGTTCTCTGTGTTGTGAGAAACAAAACTTTACTCCTTATTTATTAAGAACGGGAGATTTTTTAGGGAATTGTTTGCACTGGATTAGTATTAAATTTAATGCATGCAGTCTATAGATTTTGACAGAAGTAATTTATGGTGATCTACTTTTGAGAAACAGTCAGTTAAAACTGTGTAGACACAACAGTTCAATTCTGTTGAGCATTGGGTC